GCGCCCGTCCGAGATGAAGAAGGCGTCCATGGAGTAGCTGTCGGTCACCGCCGCCTCCCCGCGGAAGAAGCGCGCCGACAGGCTGGACTGCGGGCTCTCGGGGTCGCTGTACTCCTCTGATGCCGCCGGCCGGTACGCGGGCTCGGCGGGCGCCAGCTCCAGGCCGGGCTTCTGGTCCGCATCGTAGCTGTTTGGGGGCAGGCAGTGCGGGACATAACCTGCAGGGGCGAGAAGGGTCGGTGTCGAGGGGGCGCCCCCATGTCCTGCCCGCAAGTGGTCTTGGGAAATGATGGCATGTAAGACAGTGGGCCCCCGGTCACCTCAGTTCTTGGGTCAGACTGCCGGTACCAAATCCTTCCTACATAGGTCAAAATACAAATAACCGTGGAGCACCGGGTCGGTACTATTGATTTCTTTTTCTCTTCTTTCCTCTTTTTGAGGTGGGTCTCAGGTATTTCAAGACTGACTTGAACTTTTGTGTAGCCCAGGCTGGGCTTGAACTCGCTGTCCTGCTGCTGAAGTCTCTTGAGTGCTGGGTTACAGGCCTGTGCCACCACACCGTTCTATTGGCTTTGCGTTCAGTATCTTAAATGTCACAACCATACCGAGAAGGTATTATTACTGTCCCCACTTTGCAGGTGGCGGAAGTGAGGTGTAGATGAAGTCAGGCTAAGTTTACAATAGTGAATGGAGGAGCTAAAATTCAAACCTTGGTGGTTTGATGCCACAGCCCATCCTCTATTTTTTCCCAAGAATATTCCGCTTTTTCCGTCCTATAGCTTCTATAGATCTCAGTTTTCTTACCTAGGAAATAGAGCTTGTGGCTAGGTGTGGTAGCAAGCACTACATTCCTGGCTAGTCCAATAAGTCGAAGTAAGAGGATGGTTTGAGTCAGGAATTCGAGACCAGCCGGGGTAACATAGTGAGACCCTGGCCCCACTCACAAAAAAACAACAAAAAAATTAAATGTGGAGCTTAGACGCACCCTTCTAGGATCACTGGAAGGCCTAGGCAGATCGATGGTAATACAGACATGCAGTATTATGCTCTTAGTGTATGCCAGGCTCTGCCTCAGTACTTTACATGTTAACTCATTTAATCATCACAGGAAGTAGGCACTGTTATAATCCCCATTTTACACGTAAGGAAATTGAGAGAGTGAACAATAATTGCTATATAAATGTTAGCTATTATAATTATGCCTTTTACTTGCTTGAAAAAGTGACTTCACTGACAATGATTAGATTGTCTGCCTGCCCCTGCACTTTGAGCTCCCCAGGGCTGGCTCTGTGTGCCCAGCCTGGGCCTGGCTTCCGGGAGGTCTGTAATGAGTACATGTTGCACAAATGAATCCAAATCGCTGCTCAGCCCCACTTGCCCCCAGCGTTGCTGGAGGACTTCAGAGGGGTCACGTGTGTGGTGTGTGGTAGCGCCCAGGCCTGCCTCCCCCTTCCCCCAGTCCCGCTGGTTGGAGTTGGAGGAGAATCTGTGGTGATGTGAGTGCGTGGTGGGTGAGCAGCCTGGGGCTCCCCCAAGGCTCCTGGAGGCTCCCTTAGGGGCTCCTGGAGGCCAGGGGCCACTGGGATTTGTCTCTGCCTACTGTGGCCTTGTCTGGTCCTAGCACTTTTCCTGGGGATGTTGTGGGCTGGGCTCCCAGGAGAGTTGGTGGCAGAACTTCATCAAACATCGTCGTGGCACTTCATTCTGGAGAACAATAGCAGTGAAGCCCCTTTCTTGGAGTGCACAGCTGAGTGCACTCACATTTGAGTAGCAAATCACATTTGACTTTCTCCACCTGACCCCCGAGGCCTGTAGATCCCTGTAGATCCCTGTGAACCCCCCAGTGAAGTGAGCAGGTGGAGGAGGGCTCTGAAAGCTGGAAGGAGGATTCCACGACATTTGGACTTAGGCTGGGTGCTCTGGTCAGCTTCGGTCTCTCCAGCACTTGGGTGACAGCCTCGGGCCTGTGCTCTGGCATTTGGGATGGGCACTGTCCTGGCGTGGAAGGCGAGGGTGAGCCCTCTTTCTTTCTCTGTTTTTCAGCAGTCAGCATAGTAGGGATTGTGGGGATGGGTGATTTAGTAGTGAGGGGCTCTGTGGCTGGAGGCAGGGGAGGACACTAGTGGTGGCAGTTTGCAAATCCGAGGGGGAGGGTGTGCCCACCCCAACTCCCCTTACTCTGCCTTTGGCTTGGAGGTGCCCCACCTCCCATGCCAGGACTGGCCTGGTGGTCATGTTCCAAAAGTTTCAGGCAGTGTTGCTTTGGACTGAGTTAAGTACTGGGTGGGCCCTCCTGGGCCCCTCTCTGATTGTAATTAATGATGATGATGATAATAGCTACATTTATTGAGCACTTACTGTGCGCCAGGCTCAGCTGAGTGCTTCACTTCCATTCTCTTCCAGTGTCACCACAAATCCTCTTATTACAGGTCAGGAAACTGAGGTACAGAGTAGTGAGGGGACTTGTTCTGGGGATGGAGCATGGATTAGAGCCCACTGCATGTCTCCTCTTATTCCCTGTACCTGGGAGGTCCCTGAGGAAGGAGCTGTGGCCAGGCTGCCAGCTCCCATCTGTACGACCCCAGCCAGTGGGTGCTCGGCAAGTCCTGTGGGATGGGTGATAGTGATTTGCAGGGCAGCCTCGTGTGCCAGCCCAGGAGCATCTGTGACAATGGTCCTGTCTACCAGCCCCTGGGACAGTGTGTACCTCATATGGCCTGGGCTGTGGAAAGCAGAGAACAACTGAGCTCCCTGGCACAGATTCTACTGGGATGACCCTGGGAAAATTGTTTATCTTTCTATGCCTTGCATCCTTTTTCTGGAAGTGAAGCTAGTATGGGAGCCACTTGGAGGAGATAACAATCATATGTCTAGGGATCTGCATGTTCTGTCATTAAAGAAAATGATAGATTAGTTGAAAACGCAACTTCGGTTGGTGCCAGACTGCCTGACCTGAGTTCCAGCTTTACCATTCCTTGCTGTGTAACCTTGGAAAACTCTGTGACTTGTCTGTGCCTCTCGAGTTTTGGTAAGGAGCCACCAGGGAACAAACAATAAACAACTAATAACCAGTGCTTGCAGGGCCCCAATCCGTCAGGCAGCGTTTGAAGGGTTTTGCACACACAGATACATTCTATCCTCAGGATTGTACCATTTTACAGATGAGGTCACCAAGCCCAAGAAGTTAGGTAACATGCCTCAGGTGGGCAGTGATAAGTCAGAGGCAGGCTTCCAGCCCAAGCCTGGCGGCTTGTAAATCTGCTGTATGTATTGGCTGCTAGGAGTGATGATAACAGTCTTCCCAGGTGGGTTTCCCCAGGCAGCAATTCGTTGCGTCTGCCCTGACATTGTTTGCTGCTTCTTTCTGGGCTCTTTCCTCACCCAAGTGTGTACTTCCCTGCTTTTCAGATGGGAAAACTTCATGCAGAGCAGGAGTTCCGAAAACAGAGCAGCTCTTGCCCAGATGCATGATCTGATGGTGGCGCCCTTTGCTGGTGGCCAGCAGCCCTGCAGCACCTTACTCCTGACGCTGGTGGCTCTTTCTGTAAAGGTAGGGGTGCCTCAAACAAGGGCTGCTCGTTTGCGTAGGGATACATGAAGAACTGCCTTCAGGGTAGGCATCTGTGGGCCCTCTGATGCCCAGTGGCTGTGGAGTTCCAGATGGTTGGGGAGCACAGAAGTTTGTATGGTCATATCAGAAGAAAGTGGCTCTAATTTGCTTTGTGACCTTGACCAACTTGCTTGATCTCTCTGGCTTCCATATGTACAGGAGTAAGGCTGACCAGGATGCTATGAAGAATCTTTCTGCATCATGGCTGAGTCAGTCCCTCCAAGATCCCTCCTCCCACTCTACTCCATTCTCGTCAGATTCACAGACTTCTCCCTGTGTGACCTTGGGCAGGTTACCCGACCTCCGCTTGGCACATCTGGATAAGGGAGTTCATAATAGGATTGTATGAATTGATGCGTGTGAAGTGCTTAGTGCAGCCCCAGGCACATAGTTACTCTCACAATTTTTATTGGCATTGTTATTATTCCTATATTTTCTGGTGATATCCTAATCTGTCAGAAAATAGGGGATATGCACAGGTGTCTCATCTTGCTGTGACCTTGACAACTCCTCTCACCTCTCTGGGCCTCAACTCTGGGAATTCCTTTGGGACACTATAAACCATGCTGTCACCCTGTGCATGGAACCCAGATAGGTGTTGGGTATCTCTGGCTGACACATTGAGACAGGTCTCTTTTGTTTGGGTTTCCATAGAGACATGGGAAGCTGGAACCCAGAGAGAAGAGGCCTAGCTTGCACCTGGCCCTGGTCCACAGACCCTAGCTGTGTGACCCAGGCAAGTCCTACCACCACTCTAGGATGAAATACACCTATTGAGGTATGGGGAAACAGGCTTGCCTCTGTCATGTAGGACTATGGAGAGGGCAGTGTACACATGTCACTTGAGAATGACTGACTTTTCCTGTCCAAGAGCCTTGACAGAAGGTTCAGAATCCATTTTTTAAAAATTCTGCTGCCAAAGGAGTGGTAGATGAGGATATTTATGAGAAACTTAGGTGCTGGTTCTCTGCAGACTCTGTCCCCACCTGTCTGACCCCTGGGATGAGTGGGCCTTGTAACAAACCCTACCATGACTACCAGCCTTCCACCCACACAGCCCTCTCTGGGAGCCAGGGACACGTTCCTGAGGTCCAGAGAGGGAGAGGACTTTCCTATGGCCACAGGAGGGAACTCAGGTTTGAACCTGCCCAGGCCTGTGTTCAACCCCAAGCCCCTGAGAGGGCATGGAGGCCTGCTGGGGAATGAAGGGCCTCACCCAGTTGGGAGCTCTGTGGGTTTCCTCGAACACCACCATGCACTTGGCCTGTGTCTTATGGCGTTGGGAATGTGAGGGTAGGGAAAGCTGTTCTAGAAAATTCTCCAGTATGCTTTACATTTTTATAAATAATACTCAATAGTAATGACGGACACTTAGTGAATTCTTACTGTGTCCCAGCTAAGCACTAGATAGCAGAGCTCAAGTCTAAGGTCATGTCCTCTTGTGCTCTACTACAGAAGCTGAGGTCCACGGAGGGGCCCTGACCCCTCACAGGTCATGGAACAAGTTCTTGTTGGAGCCAGAGTAGACTCCTTTTCTTAATGGAGCCAGTCCACAGGCCTTTCCCCGGTGTTTCCAGACTCTCTAGGTTCTAAGCTGCCTTCAGGGAA